GAATTTGATCTGTGCTTCTGCTATAGTATTATTTCACATCTCTCATAAATGTTTAAAAAAAACATTTTTATTAGCAGCCATTTAATAATTTTGTTTCTTGCCGAAAGCGTTTTGGGGGGAGTCGTGGAGTCTACAAAAGTAGTTCAGAATGTGGCTCATCAATAAAAATATATCTTGCTTATCAATGTATGCATAGTTGGATAGGGTTCTTGCTTTTGTGTAATAACCACTGTACCAGGGGTGTGTAACAGAGATGCAGAAACAGTGGCCGGCCATTGATGAGTGTCAAAAAATAGCCATATTTGTTGTCCACAGACTCATTGATGATTGTTTCAAGCAAAGACTTATCAGTAAAAGTCAAATGCAGTTCACCTAAATTGACTGCTCCTTTTGTTATGTGAAAAAAAATCAGTTTTTTTTTTTTCAAATTCTTTCTCATTTTTGGATGAATTTATATTATTATATTAACTGTCTTGTATTTTCAAGCTCTTAAAAGCGCAGACAGAGACCAGAGACCTAATAGCCTAGCCTAGTAAACCAGCCCCACCCCCCAGCGGCCAAAATCATTTTTGCCTGCTACAAATAGCCTGATAATTTTTAGCCCCTTTTTATTTTTTGTGCAGAATCACAAAATTGACTCATGGGGCTACCGTTCCTTTATTTCTTGGGATAGATGTACACATTGAAACTTGCAAGACACTACTCTAGGTCAATATATTTATTAATAAATGTGGAATATGGCCGTGTTTTTATGCGGTTCCATCTGTATTTTACCTTTTTTTCTGGTTTATGTTTGTTTTTATAGTTTTTCTCCATCTCAACTGGGATTTTACATAATTTAGTCAGATTGGGCTTTACATTTCCATGAAAACCCAAGCTCTATCTAATCCAGTGCCTATTACTGAAAGATCATTTTGGTATGAAGAGGTTAATCTTTTATGCATCAGGTTTGCTCTGCTGTAGATTTTTGTGCAATTTTACGCTTTTCTGCAATGACCTGCAGCAAATATATAAGACTTATGGCATTGGATTTGACCCCTATCTTTGACAGTGTTGACCTTGAATTTTTTTCTTTTTGTGGTTTGACCAGGATATACTGGTTTTAGCTCTCAATTAGCTTAGGTTCCAGAGGTTAGAAGTTTTTATTTTTTCGCATTACTGGTTTGATCTCTAACTCTGAGGGTTTAACACAAGGTTCTATTTTTACATCTACTGGTTTTCACTTCAACGTCATCCTCTAACCCCTACATTTAAGCAACATTTACTTTCATTTTACTCATATGCATGCAGGGTTTGTCTCATGCTGTAGCATATCGGTGGGTGCTCGGCCCAGATGCTCTTGCATTGTCTTGTTGGCAAAATTATTTCACTAAAATTGCAGCATCTATACTGCCACAAATTCTCCAGCCCATGAACCATTATCTATATCATTACTCTTTTTATAGCCCTGGTTATCAAATCACAATATAGGACTTGTGACAAAGCAGGCAAAGACATGCTCATTTTGTGTTGGAGATCAAGAGTTTGAGCTCTGTGTTTGTTTGTGTTTTGTTGTTGCTTATTATCTGATTAATAAGCTGTTGTAAAAGGATTACTGTAAGATTTGTTGGATAACATTTCCTGTGATGCTGTTGAATTTTTCTTACTGATAGTAAAGGGCAGCAAACACCTGCTTGGCTCATATTTTCACTGCTCCAGGCAGTTACAGGTTGTTTTACAGATCTGAGTCACCATTACAAATAAAGCTGGCTTGAAAATCATATCTTGAATATTTTCATACTAAATTTGATTCTTGCATGTTTTCCTTACCTTTCATTTAATTAAAAACAAAATAAAAAAGGACAATTATATTTAAAAACGTAATTTATTTGGCTTTGATTATAACCCTCTATTCTGGGAGTTACCCTGAATTTAAAGCGCAACTAAATACAAGCAGTGAAACATGCTTGTAAAACCAGCTGGCAGGCTCTGACAAACAAAGAAAACATAACTCTAAATGTTTGCAGCTATTGGTGTTACACAATGAGCTAGTATGTTCTAAGTAAACATCATAGAACAAAAAGTGATGGGATGACATTATGCTAGACAACAGAAGTACAAGAAACACATGACTGAGAACAATATCTTGATTTTCCAAAAAATAAATCTTTATAAACACAAAGCTTGATGAATTAACTAAGTGAGAGTGTTCCAGTTTACTTTACAACAATAATGTAAGTGAGATTCAATAGAATTACAGCACTTCCTGATTGAGCTTATGATCATGTGCTGTTAACTGACTAAAGAAATCACCAAGATGAGAGATCTGGATTATGCTTGCTTATTAAAAAGGAGAGGAAGAGTTTTTGAAATTCTTGGATTGCAGGAAGAAATGTGATTTCATTGACTCAAAGGATAAAAGAAACATGAGCACCACTGCCTTTAAAAGAATTGGATGAGCAGCTCCCACACTTAAGCCATTGTTTTGGCACCTATATTTTTCCAAAACATCAACTTCGTCGTTCTTAAGTCTCCTTGTATTTGAAAGGGTAGTGTGCAAGATAAACTTTTTGGTTGTTAGGATTATTTTTATGATTCATGAATGTACTTGTCAAACCCTCATAATACCTGCCTGGTACATGTGAAGGCTCATGTTTTCCCAAAGCTCGGCTGTTCACAGTTCCTGCAAATGTTGAACTCGACTCTATCTCCACTGTCCAAAGCATCCAGGCATAGTCCATTGAAAATGTTCTACATGAAAGGGGCTCCAATGTAGAATGAAAAACTGTTTTAACATCCCCAGAACCAGTCAGTTGTACATTTTTGGCTCATCAGGAAGCCTGATCAGATCTATATATCTAGATATATGTGTTTTATATAATGATCCATTTAGCAAAGTCTGCAATTTGGTATTGATTACGACTCCAGGTAAAGTAAATTCAGGTGTTCTCATTAACTTTCTGCATCTTTTGTGTGATTACCCATCCCCATGATTGAAATATTTAGCTTCTGTAGTGATAATTTTAAATCAGCTTGCAGTTAAAAATGGTGAAGTTTTAGATCCTGTACCCTGATATTGACGTGCAATAAGTCCAATCAACTCATTTACTGTTAGATGAACATCAGTTAATATTGTCACAGGCCAAGTATCATTTTATCAATATTGTTTACCTGAAATGATGTGACTTTTATTTCAAACAATTACCCATGTCCTTATTGCTTCTAAAATTTGTATAGGAAAGCTTTATGTTTACACCTTTAAGCTTTCTCTCCCAGGTTTTTTCCTGAGAAGAGATCACTTCGGACAAACATGTTCATGTTCATTATAGCCATGCTTACCACCTGGATCGCTTCTTCAGAAAGGCGGCCCCAAATACCAGTTAAAGAAACCTTTTATACACACAGCCTCTTACATTTTTAGATGATTACATCATACACATGTTTGTAAAATGAGGAGACATCACTGGCCTCAGCCATATCACAATAATACAGTGTTCCGGATCAAGGACACTCCGAATGCACAGTGACAGAGTTCTCTGATAGTATAACCCACTCTGTCCATATGCTTAACATGTAACAGGCAGGTATTATAGGGTTTAACAAGCACATACATGAATCATAAAAATAATTCTAACATGATTTGTGTCTTAACATATTGCTTCAGTATTTTCACATAATTTTTCTTTCTTGTTATATCCTCTTTTTATTCTCTCCAGTTTTAAAACACTTCCACAACATGATGCAACCATCCCCATACCTTACAATTAAGGACAGTGTTCTCAGGCATAACTTAAGTAGATCACCATACTGTCTTTAGGGAATTTACTGCAATCTGTTTTTTATGTTGCTTTGAAATATTCGCTTCTTTTTTTAAATTTTTATTTTTTATTTTATGCATTTGGCTGTTATCTCCTCAGTAAAGGCCACTAATAGGGATGACAGGGTTGAAATAGATATCAGACACAGCAGAAGGTGCAGAAATTGTGAAGTAGAAGGGGTTCCTTGATGGTAGATTGGGATTTACCAGTTCTAGCAGCCATCAGCATGTTGCTTCACCATCATGAATCAAGCATGCAATGAATCTGGGCTTTCTTGAATTGGTGTTGGTTGCTAGCCAGCAATCCCTTGACTGGATTGAATGAGTCGTGACATAAGCCTTTGAGAGCTTTCAGGTAGATGGGAGCTGTTCCATTAGGCACTCTATAGGCTTACAGCGGTGACTTGAATTTTATGGGCACAGCTAAAGGTGGACCCTGGTTCTGAACGAATAAAGGATTGACAAGAGACACCGATTTTATGTAAATATCTTCTGTCTTGTAGGAGGATTTTTCACAGTTTTATAAGTGTAGCTGAAATTTGAAATTAGTGACCATTGTGATGTTGTTTCATGGATGTGCTGCAAATTGCTAGGTGATGTGGCTCCAAAGTTGAAATGTTTTGCAGTTGTAAGTTTGTCAGGGGCCTTCGCTTTCTGTTCTTAATTCTTGGTTAAAGATGATATTTAAATGTTTTACTAAGTTTGCTTTCTTGTAGTTTCTTTCTTATTTATGTCTAAATATATATATATATATATATATCTATATATATATAGATATATATATAGCTATATATAGATATAGATAGATAGATAGATAGAAATATATTATTATTAATTAATATATTAATTATTAAAACACTTTACAGTATTCTATTTGTTTATTTTTTAACTCTTCACTATTATGTTATTCTTATACACTTTTTTAAGTTCCACATTTGTGTGACCATTTTTTCTATAATCTTTTTGATGCTGTAACACCATAATTTCCCCATTGTGGTACAACAAAGGGATTTTGTATTCTTTTCTGTACTGTTTTAGTTTTATTTTTATAGTGCAGCCCTAACGACATTTCTTTCTATTAGTTATTTATATAAGCAATACATATAGGATTTTAGAAATAACTTCTGTTATGATACAGTAATAAAATAATGATTTCCTTTATTTCATAGTTTTAAATCTGACCATGTCTTTTTTTTCTTTTCAGCAGACATATGTGTCCCCATCCAACCATCAGATGGCCCCTCCCAGTCCCAACAGCAATGGCAACAGCAACACCCCCACATTCAGCAATGGCAACAGCAACAGCATGAATGGAGCAGAGCAGCTAAGCAAAACCAACCTTTATATCCGTGGCCTGCATCCAGGAACCACAGACCAGGATCTGGTCAAACTCTGTCAGCCGTGAGTCGCACAAAAAGCAGTGCTCTTACACACTCAATAAATCTTTGCAGCTGTCGGCCATGAGCGGGAACCAGGGAATGCAGGATAGATAATGGTAGTGCTGTTTGAAGTGATGGGTGCTTGGCGGAATTGTTTGCATGGGAAAGCTTACTTGCACTCAACATGCTTGAAGCGTTGTTCATTTATGCTTTACATTTTGTATAATTTAATAATACATCCTGATAGCAATCAGACTTTGTTATTCAAAGGAAAAGTCACATTCTGCTCTATAAATAACACAATGAGGCTCATCAGCATGTATGTTAGGCTAGAAAATGTCAAACAAACAACAGCACCATCCAATCCATCTGATATGTTTGTTAGACCTATGGTTGGAGAGGAGATCAAAACACGGAGGGCTGAGATGAATGATCCGCTTTTACCTAATTGAATTCTGGAGCCTGGTGATGAAAACCAGGAGAGCAGCGAGAGAAATGGAGGGAAAAAAGGGGACTGGAGAAAGATTGAAAATAAGGGGAGGGGGGGCAAAGAAGGGAGGGCGAGGCCCGTTATTTTACAGCTGTCTGGAAGATATAGCTCACATGAGGCTGCCCAGCCTAACAGGAAACAGCAAACCCAAGGGAAAGGGAAAGACAAACACGGGCAGTGGTGTGGGGGTAGAGGGTCGAGGACGCAGAGAACCGGAGGGGGGAGGAGTGTCAGGTGGTGTTGCGTGGGGGTAGTTCTCATATTTCTGTTTTAACAGAGCAGATAAAGTCATTGCATGAAATTATCCTCTCAGCAGAGCCCATTATGATCGGTGAGATTTTTTCCTAAACTTGACTGAAGGAGGACGGTGTTCTCAATAGCAGCAGGAAACAGAGGAAAGTCACGTACCAGGAAGATAACTCATGAAACAAATCAGACTTTATGGCTCTTGGTTTGTTTAGTAAATGTGGACACAAACATGATAGGAAATCCCTGCCAAACATTCCCAACCCCCCACCCTGCCTGAAAGTTGTTGTATGCTGAGATTTACTACAAGTTTGTAATGAGAGGTGGGAATTCAACTTTAATCTCCTCCTCTGGCCCCTGCAGTTTTCTCCCTAGGAGATTTGCTGCCTCTCTGGTTCCTACCATTTCTTGTCTCTGGCTGTTAGCAATAGATGGATGCTGAGCTGGACTGTGTAAGAAGTGATGAAGTCTCACACATGAATAGGTCTCTGCTTTACTGTACAACATGGAGACCTCTGAGCACAATTCTGTTAAGTCTACTGTGTGAGCAGCAAGGATTCAAGCAGAGCTGCGAGGCTAAGAACGAGTTAATGTTGTGGGATCAACATGTAGATACAGCACACTACAGGTGCTGGTCATAAAATTAGAATATCATGAAAAAGTAGATTGATTTCAGTTATTCCATTTAAAAAGTGAAACTTGTATATTATATTCATACATTACATACAAACTCATATATTTCAGATGTTTATTTTGTTTAATTTTGATGATTACAAATGACAACAAATGAAAATCTCAAATTCATCATATCAGAAAATTAGAATATTACTGAAGACCAATAAAAACAAAGGATTTATAGAAATGTTGGCCAACTGAAAAGTATGAACATGAAAAGTATGAGCATGTACAGCACTCAGTATTTAGTTGGGCCTCCTTTGGCCTGTATTACTGCAGCAATGCGGCGTGGCATGGAGTCGATCAGTCTGTGGCACTGCTCAGGTGTTATGATAGCCCAGGTTGCTCTAATAGTGGCTTTTAGCTCTTCTGAATTGTTGGGTCTGGTGTATTGCATCTTCTTCTTCACAATACCCCATAGATTTTCTATGGGGTTAAGGTCAGGAGAGTTTGCTGGCCAATTAAGAACAGGGATACCATGGTCCTTCAACCAGGTACTGGTAGCTTTGGCACTGTGTGCAGGTGCCAAGTCCTGTTGGAAAATGAAATCTGCATCTCCAAAAAGTTGGTCAGCTGCAGGAAGCATGAAGTGCTCTAAAACTTCCTGGTATGTGGCTGCGTTGACCCTGGACCTCAGAAAACACAATGGACCAACACCAGCAGATGACATGGCACCCCAAACCATCACTGACTGTGGAAACTTTACACTGGACTTCAAGCAACGTGGATGAAGTGCCTCTCTTCTTTTCCTCCAGACTCTGGGACCTTGATTTCCAAAGGAAATGCAAAATTTACTTTCATCAGAGAACATGACTTTGGACCACTCACCAGCAGTCCAGTCCTGTTTCTCTTTAGCCCAGGCAAGACGCTTCTGACGCTGTCTGTGGTTCAAGAGTGGCTTGACACAAGGAATGCGACAGCAGAAACCCATGTCTTTCATACGTCTGTGTGTGGTGGTTCTTGAAGCACTCACTCCAGCTGCAGTCCACTCTTTGTGAATCTCCCCCACATTTTTGAATGGGTTTTGTTTCACAATCCTCTCCAGGGTGCGGTTATCTCTCTTGCTTGTACACTTTTTTCGACCACATCTTTTCCTTCCCTTCGCCTCTCTATTAATGTGCTTGGACACTGAGCTCTGTGAACAGCCAGCCTCTTTAGCGATGACCTTTTGTGTCTTGCCCTCCTTGTGCAAGGTGTCGATGGTCGTCTTTTGGACAACTGTCAAGTCAGCAGTCTTCCCCATGATTGTGTAGCCTATAGAACTAGACTGAAAGACCATTTAAAGGCTTTTGCAGGTGGTTTGAGTTAATTAGCTGATTAGAGTGTGGCACCAGGGGCCATCAATTTTGAACCTTTTCACAATATTCTAATTTTCTGATATGATGAATTTGAGATTTTCATTTGTTGTCATTTGTAATCATCAAAATTAAACAAAATAAACATCTGAAATATATGAGTTTGTATGTAATGTATGAATATAATATACAAGTTTCACTTTTTAAATGGAATAACTGAAATCAATCTACTTTTTCATGATATTCTAATTTTATGACCAGCACCTGTAATTATGGGACGTGCTTACATATTATCTGGTGGTATTTTAAATATTTGCATCAGAAAAAACCACCATGTAGTATCTGTATCATAGAAATAACACATCCAGAGTAAAACAGAACTGCAGTAAGATAAAGAGTTAATTTACAGAGGATTGACCCTCTTTACTTGCGCTGTCTATCAAAGATATTTATAACCCATCATATTACTATCACAATTCGTCACGATGCAACTACAAAAATAAAACATTAGTTTGTTTTTTTAAGTAATAAAAAACGCAAACTTAATACAGTATATGTATGTCGCTAAGGGGAACTGATTAAAAACATCTTCTATAGATAGAAATCTGAAAAATGAAGGAAACAATTTCCTTTAGAGAGCTGTATCGATATCGATATAATATCCATTACTGTAAAAATATCCATAGCTGTGTATTGGATATTTATTCTCTAGGTGCACAGTTTTGTATTGTTAAAACCCTTTACAGTACAGTATTTTTTTGTTTATCTTTTAACCCTTCACTATTATGTTATTCTTATACATCTTTCTAAGGTCCACATTTGTGGGACCATTTTTCTATCATCTTTTTGTTGCTGTAAACACCAGAATCCCCCATTGTGGGACAATAGAGGGATTTTTCTATTCTATTCTATTCTATTCTTGTGACGATCTCGGCACTGGTGCTGGCTTAATCTCCAACTCCTCACACCTGCTCACTCCACCCTGCCTGTAATTGTCTCTAATTGGTCCCACCTCTATATATAGCTCATTTGGATCTGTTCCCAGTGCCAGATCGTCTCAAACCAACTATTGAGTACCTTCCAGCTTATCTACCTTTTGCCTGCCTACCTGTTACCTGACCTGTTTTTGCCTTTTTCTCCGAGCCTGCCAGACCCCTTATCTGATCCTGACAGCCTGCCCTGAATCCAAACCAGTTCTGCCTCTGAATCCTTGCACCAGTTCTGCCTTGGATTGCCTGCCTCTGAGCCTGAACCCCACTCAGTCAGTGAGTAACCTAGTCTGCCTAACTCTTGGCTTCTCTCAACCTGCCAGTAAACGGACCCTCGAACGGACCTGGACTTCTCTTCCGGATTGCCCCTCTGTACCTTCGCTCGGACCCCACCTCTGAATCCACAAACGAACTGTCGCTGGAGCTCATCGGTCTCAGTCCTCAGCTAATCATCCGCCGCTCAACGGCCGCCGTTTCCATAAGCCCCTTCATCACACGGACTCCTGCCCCGGACCCTAAGCGGTGCCAATCGCCCACTCTGCGACCCAGTAACAGGGGATTTCCTGACTGAGAGCCGCCTGAACGCCCCCTGCGCCTTCCATTATAAATAAAAACTATTGCATTCCACTTACCGTTCTGAGCTGTTTCCTGGGTCCATAATCCTGTACGTTACAGTACGATCTGGCCAAAGATGGACCCATCACCAGACGGTCAGTGGCGGGCCGGCGTGGAAAAATCCATTTCAGACTTAGAAGCCGGCGTGACCGAAATTTTACACCATCTTCGTAACCAGGCTTCCCCAGCCCCGCCTCCTCCGCAAACAGTTCCTGATTCCGCGTCACGTGCTGTGACGTCATTTCCGGAACCGCGTCTGACTCCGCCAGAGCTCTTTAGGGGCGATCCCGAGCATTGTCGGGCTTTTCTCACCCAATGTGAGATTCATTTTGAACTGCAACCCTCCTCCTACCCCACTGAGCGTTCAAGAGTTGCTTATGTTATCTCCCTTCTCACTGGTAAAGCGAGACTATGGGGAACCTCTGAGTGGCAGAACGATTCCCCATTATGCCACTCGTATTATGAGTTCTCCAGGGAGTTAATTAGAGTGTTCAGCCCAATATTGCCCAGCAGGGAGTCCACTAGGGGGCTTTTGTCTCTGAGACAAGGAGACAGGCCAGTTTCTGAATATATCATTAACTTTCACCTTTTAGCGGCCGAAAGTCCGTGGAACGAGCCCGCCCTCATGGATGTCTTTATCACTGGGTTGAGCGATAGAATTAAAGACGAGCTCGCTACCAGAGATTACCCTAGAACCCTGAAGCAACTAGAG